GAGAATAATTATTCTCCTCTCCCCTCCCTCTCAACCCTCCCCCCCCCCAAAAAAAACAGCAGAAAGAAACTGGGCGGGGGGGGGCGTGCGGAGAATTCGGTTTTCTGATTGGTTGCGAATAGGCGGCGTTTACGCCCCTGGGGGATTTTAAGGGAGCCTCGGTCGGCTGTTTTGCCGGACGGAGAAAGAAAGAGGGCGGGGTGGAGGGAAAGCTTCTGCTTTTGGTGGCGCTTGGTGTGGGATGTCGCTTGTTGTGGTGTGGCACGGTCTCTCGGGGGAAAGAAGGAGTGAGCTCATGGCCTCCTGTCAGATGCCCAAAGGGGGGGGGGGAGGAGAGGGGGAGATGAAAAGGGCTCTTTGAAGCAGAAGGCATTCGTGTTTATCTCGCCCGCTCACTCCCACAGCGCTGCATTTCTCTGCGCTGAGGGAATGCTTGCCTTTTCGACGGGGCGCTCCGACGGCGGGGAAGGCTTTCGCCTGGGCCAAGGGCGTTTTTACGCGCTCGGAGATTGCGGAGGAAAGTTTGGCACTCGAAGTTCGCGCTCTTTCCGTGTTGGAAGGACAAACGGGATATTCACTTCGCAATCCCACGCTCGTTTTGGATCTACGGGGAGGAACGCGCCTGGCACTTTGCACGGCAAAGTGCAAAAAACCAAGGAAGGTTTCGCTGTTAGGGTTTGATGAGGGTTCTCTAAAGAAATCTTTGCCCAAGGTTAACAAGACTTTTTTTTTTTCTTTGTTTGTAAGAATGCCAAGAATAATGCCAAGAATGTAAGAATAAAGGACACGGTGGCTCAGTGGCTAAGACGCTGAACTTGTCGATCAGAAAGCTTGGCATTTGGGTGTTCGAATCCCTAGCACCGCTTAACGGAGTGAGCTCCCGTTTCTTGTCCCATCCTCTGCCAACCTAGCAGTTCGAAAGCATGTAAAAATGCAAGTAGAAAAAATAGGAACCACCTTTGGTGGGAAGGTAAACTGTGTTCCCTGCGCCTGCGGTGTTTAGTCATGCTGGTCACATGTCCACAGAGACAGCTTCGGATGGCTATGGCTCTTCGGCTTTGAGCACCGCCCCCTAGAGTCGGGAACAACTAGCACATATGTGAGTGGGAAACTACCAAATCCTTGTGTTATTTGAGGTAAGGACACAAGCAATTTGCAAAACGTAAGGGTAAGAACAGTGAACTTCGGCAACGTTTCAGAGGAAGAGAGCTAAAATCTGAGACAGTTGGATGTGCGCCTGAATCATTGTGCAAAATAACGCACCTGAAAAGACAGCTTGATTGCAGATTGTTGGTGTACATTCTTCCATACGTTTCACTTGCCCAAAAGCTTATTGTTAGAACTGCCAGGAATAATAATTACGTTGCAACTTTCAATTGCTTCTGCATAAATCAATATACATAGAAAAAATTCTTATCTGTTCAACTCTTCTCCAAAATGTCACAAGAAGTAAGATTAAATACTTAAATCAGATTAGTAATACCCTGGTAAGAATATCCCAAAGGTGTTTTTTCAAGAGGTACTTTCTGAAGTTTCTGAAAAGTCCAGTTGACTCTTGAAAAAACACCTTTGGGACAACCTGGACTGAGAATCTCCATAGACATTCCTGGTAAGAATGCCATTTCTCATGGCAATGATCTAGCCATCCAATCTAACCTTTGTATGGGAAAGCTTATATACTCAACCTGTTTGAGAATTACATATAAGAACTGGCCTTTTTAGATATTCTAGCAACAGCACTTAGGAAATACTGTTGACTGAATTAGAATTAAGGATTACCATACCACTAGTTCTCAGGTTTACCTAAATCTCAAATATTCTGTGAACAACAATATATACAGGTGAAACTTAAAAAATTAGAATATCGTGTAAAAGTTCATTTATTTCAGTAATGCAATTTAAAANTGTTTGGCAACAGATTCGTATTTATGCTGGTTTCAGTGTCCTGGGGTGACCTTTTGACAAAATATAAAATTTTTAATCAACCCCCCCCCCCCCCGGTCAATGGTGTCCCTCTTTACCTATCTGAAAATCTGGTCACCTTACCTTTAGTGCCTCCAACAATTTACAGTGTTTGTATGCATTTAGGTCCCCTTAGAAGCATGTCAGGAAATTCCTGCCATCCTACACACTATGGATTTGGCCTCTACAATCTCTTTGGGTTAATTGGGGTTAATTTAGAAATATCTGGATCTTTTGTAGTCTGTAAATTTGAGCTGTGGTGGCGCAGTGGTTAGAATCCAGTATTGCAGGCTAATTCTGCTGACTGCTGATTGCCAGCAATTCGGCAGTTTGATTCTCATCAGTTCAAGGTTGACTCAGCCTTCCATCTTTCTGAGGTTGGTAAAATGAGGATCCAGATTATTGAGAGCAATATGCTAACTCTGTAAACCACTTAGAGAGAGCTGTAAAGCCCTGTGAAATGGTATAGAAGTCTAAGTGCTGTTGCTAAATCTCTCAAGATAACTTGGAGAATCAGTCCTATTATTTCAGTGGTGTGTGGTGTGGCTTGGTGGCGTGGCTTGGCAGGGGAAGATACTGTAAAATCTCCATTCCCACTCCACTCTAAGGAAAGGATACTGTACAATCTCCATTTTCTCTCGATCAGCTGGGACTCGGGAGGCAGAGAATAGATGGGGCGGGGTCAGTCAGAGGTGGTATTTACCAGTTCTCCGAACTACTCAAAATTTCTGCTACCGATTCTCCAAAACGGGTCAGAACCTGCTGAATACCACCTCTGCATCACTAGTTGAATGAGGCTAATCCAAGGCTGGAAATGAAAACATAAGTCACCTGATTTGGTAATGCTGTCCATTTAGGCATCTCCAAGCCAGAAGAAAAAAGGGCTTGTTTTATAGTCTTCAACATCCTATATAAACAAAAACAAAAAAAGTTATAGCTCTTCTATATTCTGGATTAAACCTACAAATTCATAAGGTTCAATCCTCTTGAAAGAGGATCTACAAAGGATTTTAGCTTGTAGGTTTTTAACAACTAAAACCTAAAGCAAACATTTTATTCTCATCTCTTCAACTTCTTAAGTTGATGAGAGGAAGAAAAGCTATGGCTAAGGGAACAAGAAAAAGAACTGAAAACTGTAAGCAAATACATTTGCAGAAATGACTAAGTGGACATGTTTGATTAAGGAGCAGTTGCTTTCATAAAAATGGAAACCCTTTATGGTTGTATTTGCTGAAAATGAATAGAAACGAACTGGTGATTTTTGAATGTATTAATTAAAAAGGCTTGTTTAAAAAAAGAAAACCATATGTAGTGTGGGTGTGTGGAGATGTAATTAGTGTAAGCTGCAAATATGAAAAGTTGCGTCTTTACATTTTTTTTCCTTTTGTTATCTTTCACTGTATCTTTACATCTTCTTTTTCTACTTTTTCTTTCTGTAGTTTTTAAGCTACATAAAAATCTCTAATAGTAAAAATCACTTTTTAAAAAAAGGCTGTAAACACAGATATGGCCTGGAAACAACTTCCTGGGTACAAGTTTGCTCTGAGGCACCCTGTTCTTTTAACTGGGTTTGTATAGTGTCCTCCACAGCATCCTGTTGATCAATTTGGTGGAAATCTCAAGGCTGAAGTCCTCCTAAATAAGTATTCTTAAATTGATAACTGTTGCATTCCTCAGCAGCACTTCTGCTTTGCACTGCTTCCCAATGTGAGGGGTATACCATTTATTCTCCATGCCAACGACCAGCATTGTGTACCTCTCTATCCAAAGAATAAAAGTCCCAGTTCAGGAACTGTCACAACTGCATTGCCTGGCATATCCTGCTCGATTCGATTCGCTCATTCAACAATGGACTAAAAAACCCTGACCCCCGTTCAGATTTCTAAAGAGTTCAATTGGGACAGCACTTTTCCAGCATTATGGGGTGTGTAGTTCAAAACATAACTCTCAAAACAAAACTTATCCCTGCCTTTATCCCCCAAACTCACCTTTCGATTAGCCTCTTCTCTGGTCCCCAAGCAGGAGCTTTTGCAAAAGGCAACAGAGTTGGGGGAGAAGGGGGGGGGGCATAACATTTCTAGCCTCGGGAGTCGTGGGGCGGGGCTACCCGGCTCAGGACGTAGAGAATAATTATTCTCCTCTCCCCTCCCTCTCAACCCTCCCCCCCCCCAAAAAAAAACAGCAGAAAGAAACTGGGCGGGGGGGGGCGTGCGGAGAATTCGGTTTTCTGATTGGTTGCGAATAGGCGGCA